ACTATTTTAGAACTGAATCTTCACAATCGAATCAAAGGCATGTTCTCTCCATTAATCACAAATCTGATCCAATCAGATTTGTATACAAATATTGTTTTTCGTTTTGCTGAAAAACCTTATTTCGCTTATTTAAAGGACTGTTTATTTGATATCCAATTAGATGAGTTCTTCATCTCAAATGAATTAAAGAAAGCACAAATTGTTAATCTCAGTTTAAGGTTTGCCTAATCCTAGTTCCGATATCAAAGGCAAGTTCTCTTAATTAATCATAAATATGGATTATTCAGGGAAGCCTCAAACTTGTCGAAAATTGGCACAGTTCTCATAAGTAAATGAGCGGGTTATATGTGCAGTACCCGGCACTGGATAATGCAGATGATTAATGAATTGTCTTGTTGCATTGGTGCCCACTCAAGTTTGCTTAGAGGAGGACCACATGCGTGTCCTTGTACGGTTGCATTCTGGGGGCCCCAACAAGGACACACTTAATCAGTTCGACATTATCAGCGTGACTTGCGCCGCTTTCGAGAGCCACTCGGCGATTAGGTGGAATGACTGGCGCTTTTGGGTCGCAGCCACAAAGGAGCCGAAGTGGATAAGGCAAGTAAACATTAATTACATTCCATGAATGCCAAAGCTTGGCTTTCAATTCTTATGAGCCTGACTTTTGGTAGGTACTGTGCCGTATTTTGGTTTCGGTCTTCGGATTTTTAAGGCGCAGCTGCTGCAGCTTGTTTCGCATAGCAAATGAGTTCATGCAACCCACAATGTCTAGACAATTTTGTGTTTGTGTGTGTGGCAGACAACAAAGTTGCCATTAGCTGTCGTCTGCTGCAGATCGTATGACTGATTTACTTTTATTCGAACCAGAAACACAATTAGCTACTTCAGTGGCAGCTCATGTTCAAAAGCATCGATGCAAACGTAAATGGAGGCAGTGCCTCGACCTTCGCTGAGTGTCGCAGGTGTAGGTACTCTCAGCCGAGAGCTACGCTTCGGAAACCCTTGAAGCGTCATTTAAGCGCCTTTCCATGCTGCCAATTTAATTGCAATTGCAATCAATGTTGCCTCACAGATGAAGGCAGGAATGGAACAGAGCGAATGAGAGAGAGAGAGAGAGAGAGAGAGAGAGAGAGAGAGAGGGAGAGAGAGAGAGACATAAAGTCGACCCAATTAATTTTTTGTGCGCGTGTAAACGCCCAACAGCAGCCGGGCACTCAATGAAAATTATACAGCAACTGCAGCAACAGCTTTTTATTTGTACACAAATATATATCAATAAAAATTCGGAGGAAAAACTGCAGTTACAACGGAAATAATAACAAATCCGTTTGTGAAATGATATGCAGTTGCACATTTCACACACTTTTTATTGAGCACCATTTATTTTTCATAACAAAAATATTTGCCAAGAATTTTAAACATAGCTTTGAAAAAACCGAATCGATTCTCTTGCTTTCGCAATTATCTATCTAATACATATTTACATCTATGAATTTTTTGAAATATTTTAGACTATTATGCAGTCAAAAGTTATACTAAGCTTTAGTGTGAAAAACTGCAAAGATTTTTGATTTGAAATTTAAGTTTCGGGCGCATTTTCCAGTTTTTCAAATGTTGAAATCAATTGTTACTTTTCTAAACAGACAGTCAATCATTTAGCTGAAATTGATGCTGTTTAAAATGTGGAGTAAATAAATAATAGCTTACACTTTTGGCTTAAAGGTCTGTTTTGGCTTGTCATCAGCAAATAGTTGTGCATTGCGAATTGTATATATTTGCACAGTGACTTGCACAATAATTATTGTGCAAGGCTTAATTTAAATGATTAATAAATTATAATGCAAGCTGCCGGCGAAGACAAAGACCAAGACGGATGCAGGCAACAGCAGCTAAAAGTTTCTCATTAAACAAATATTTTCACAGCAGTTAAAATTTATGTTGCCAGCACCCACACACACACACGCACACACAACCGAACACACATTTGCACTCATACCAAAATATAAAATTTATGCATGAAAACTGCTTGGGCTTTGTAGGTCGCAAGCGGGGGGCTGCCGTGATACCGGGGGGGGGGGGGGGGGGGGGGGGGGGGGGGGGGGGCTTGGCGGGGGCACAGAAAATGCAGCAAGTAGTTCAGTGTAAACAAGCGGCAGGCAGGAGCCAGTCAGGCAGGGAGCCAGCTCAGCAAGCAGCTTGGCAAGGACATGCCAAAGGACACATAATGCAAACATGTGACTTCCGCATGCGGTGCAAACACTTACAGTGCACTCGCACACACCCACACACATACACACATAGCATTCATAAAGTTTGTGCCATAGTCTCATAGTTGTTAACAACTCGAGCGGCAGGCAGCTCGTCCGTCCGTCCGTCCGTCTGTCTCTCTGTCTGTCTGTCTGTCCTGGTGTCCTCCCAACCGCTTGTAGCTTGGCTTGTACGCACGCCCCACTGTTTCGGCTTAACTCACACACGCACTTACACTCACACACAGATCGCAGAGCTACAAAGACATAATGTGAAATAACTTATTGCCCTTAAAATGTCATTTATGTCAACGGTAAGATAAGTTACGCATACGCACCGTGCACCACACGCTGCACCCTTGCCGCCTGCACCCCAACCCTCTGTCGCTGTCGTCGTCTGCCTGGCAGGCTTGACAACAATTAAAGTCAACAGGAAATGTGACACATTTAACATGGCAAATAATATTTTCAATTATTTAGCATAAATAATATGCACACACACATTGATATAATAAGGGGAAACTCATATACATGCAAATGCGCATGTAATTTAACACATGTTTTGCTTTTGCACATGGAAATATCCTGCGGCATATCCAAAAACTAATTAGCAGCTCACAACCAACTGTTTATTTTAGCCATTTAGCACTTTACGGACTTTAATTTCCAAAGTCCATTTGCTGCATATTTCGAAACATGATGCGCATGTAATTGAGCAGACCCTTGTCACAGGGCATTTTGAAATGATTAAGTGGTATTTAAGCTACTTAAATTTTAAAATTGAAACTTAATTACAATTTTTGCGTTTTTTTTTTTTTTTATAGCTGAGGCTTGATTGAGGTATAAATTAATAAATAACCAAATTGGTTGTCATATGATTTATTTACATATATGGTTTATTCAATTATAGAATGTAGATTGCGTGATTATTTCTTGATTGCCTACACATTTATTTAAAGCCATCCTCTATTGCCCACAACCTGCTCAGCATGTTCCCCAAAATATCCAACATAAATGAAAGTTTTCAATTAGACCGCCAACGAGCGAATATTTCGTTTTGGTAAGCCAAAAAACGAAGCCACAATTTCCAGTTGCTAGCAGCATTTAACCTGCATGGAATACACCACACACATACTCTCACAATCACACACAGGCACTCTCACACACACACACGTACAGGGTCTCACACACATATACAATTACCAAAGATTTATCGCCTGTGCACTTGGAATTGATGACCAGGGCCTAATTGTCATCCGATATGACTCCACCGCATGACTCGCATTGTCGGTCGAGCGACGTTGTCGTCGAGGCAGAGGGCGACGGAAGAGCTGGGGGGAAGGGAGCGGGGGAGCGGTAGCCAGCAGCTAACAGCCAGTAGCTGCAGCTAGAGAACGGCTACCTCTCGCCAGGGGCGGCCACCAGCACATTTATACACTTCAACCGGCACGTGCATAGTTTTGCATGCTGCGCATAACTTGCACGCACACCAACACACACATACACAGGGTCGTAATTTTTACACATACACACAAACGCACATGCACAGGGAGAGCGATTTATGTTTGACTTTCTCATGTGGCTGGCGGTTTGGGTGGATTTAAAAGTCCCCCGACGCGTGGGCGAACGCCTCAACTGGGCTCCTGCTTGATGCTGTCGCCTGCTGCTGGCTATGGCATTTGTTGTTGTAAAGTAAGTTAAGACTGTAGCTGGTAGTGTGAGACAGTTGGGTCGTATTTGTTGTTGGCTGCATTGGCTGATAAATCGCCAGCAATTTATTATTGATAACACATTGGTACATTGATTGTGTATTAACTGAAACTGTTTGCCAAAGTAAAGTGACATTGATATATGGCAAGTACATGAAATATCGCTTGTTGCGACTACACAGCAACTGCGTTATGCTCTCTCCCTCTCTCGTTCTCTTCCCTTCTCTCTCCTTTAATCATTCTCCCTCTCTCTCCACAACGCACCAATATGCCCATTGCGACAATCAACACCAGAAGTTGACGCAAGATTTGTGGCCGCCAGTGAATTGATCCGCCTTTTATAAACTTAATACTCAAACATTTGACATGGCCTTAAAAAATAATGACAGCATTTCGTTTTCATATGACATGTTCCCGAGCACAAATTTGTATAATTATCTTAAATGCATATAATTTTATTAATTCAAACAGTTATGTCATAAAAAGTGAAAATGAAATGCAAAAACATTCAGCACGAGGCATTCGGCAATTAATGACCAATTCAATACTTCAGATCAGCCACAAACGAGCGCATCAATTAATAAAAAAAACATCAATTTAATTAATTAAAGGCAGCAAAGAGACATTAATTTCATGCATTTTTTTACGTTGGAATTAAAACAGAAAGCAGTCACCGTTAATTCTAAAGATGCTGATTTAAAACATTCTGAGTAACATGAAGGAATGTCTTCTGTCTAGGGAATGCCGACGTAAAAATAACCCTAAGGACAAATAGCTGTCGGTATTTCGGATATTTTGGTTGTCCTATGTCTACTTAAAACTTAAAACTTTGCTAAAACAAAACCTTGAATCGCAATTCTACCGAGAAAGAAATCTCCCACCATATCTTTGACCATTATTTCCATCAATTATAAGTAAATTTGTATGGTGTAAGCGAATATCTTAGGCACAAAATTACAAAAAGAGGGAATTGATGTATTAATATTCATTGTAAGGGTCTATTCTTTATGACAAAACCGTCAAAATTATGTTGTGTACTCACCTGAGACCTTCCCATAAACTAACTTGTTTACGATGTGATCAATTTGCCATTTTCATAACACATGCACTTGTTGGTCCAGCAGTTGTCGTTACTCTTTACTCTTCTTGTTAGTATTGTTGCTCCAGTGCCATCTCGCTTTCTCTCATATGTGATCTGCTAACATTCTTTTAAACACGTAAATGCATATTAATAAGCAGCCCTTAGCTGGGGCCACCTTGCAGCTTCAACTGAAGCCCGACTGCAGTGCTGCTCTATTTATACCGTTTACTCCAGCAGTTATCTTCGCTCCGCACTCTTCTTATAGGTATAGTAGTTGCTGAATTCCATCTCCCTCTCTCTCATTTGTGATCTGCTAACATTATTTTATGCGCGTAAATGCATATTAATTCGCAAGTCCCTTTTCGAGCCACCTTTCAGCTTATACTGAAGCCCAACTGCAACTGTTGCTCTATTTATACTGTTGACTCTTCTTCTTTCAATCGTACGTGTTGATCCAGCAGTTATCTTTGCTCTTTACTCTTATTATTGGTATATTTGCAGCAATGCCATCTCGCTCTCACTCACGTTTGAACTGCATACATTTTCTTAAACACGTAAATACCCTTAGCTGGGCCACTCTGCAGCTTCAACTGAAGCTCAGCTGCGAAGTGTTGCTCTATTTATACTGTTGACTCTTCTTCTTTCAATCGTTCGTGTTGATCCAGCAGTTATCTTTGCTCCTTACTCTTCTTATTGATATATTTGCTACAATGCCATCTCGCTTCCTCTCACGTGTGAACTGCATACATTTTCTTAAACACGTAAATACCCTTAGCTGGGCCACTCTGCAACTTCAACTGAAGCTCAGCTGCGAAGTGTTGCTCTATTTATACTGTTGACTCTTCTTCTTTCAATCGTACGTGTTGATCCAGCAGTTATCTTTGCTCTTTACTCTTATTATTGGTATATTTGCAGCCATGCCATCTCGCTCTCACTCACGAGTGAACTGCATACATTTTCTTAAACACGTAAATACCCTTAGCCGGGCCACTCTGCAGCTTCAACTGAAGCTCAGCTGCGAAGTGTTGCTCTATTTATACTGTTGACTCTTCTTCTTTCAATCGTTCGTGTTGATCCAGCAGTTATCTTTGCTCCTTACTCTTATTGGTATATTTGCTGCAATGCCATCTCGCTCTCACTCACGTGTGAACTGCATACATTTTCCTAAACTCGTAAATACCCTTAGCTGGGCCACTCTGCAGCTTCAACTGAAGCTCAGCTGCGAATTGTTGCTCTATTTATACTGTTGACTCTTCTTCTTTCAATCGTACGTGTTGATCCAGCAGTTATCTTTGCTCTTTACTCTTATTATTGGTATATTTGCAGCCATGCCATCTCGCTCTCACTCACGTGTGAACTGCATACATTTTCTTAAACACGTAAATACCCTTAGCTGGGCCACTCTGCAGCTTCAACTGAAGCTCAGCTGCGAAGTGTTGCTCTATTTATACTGTTGACTCTTCTTCTTTCAATCGTACGTGTTGATCCAGCAGTTATCTTTGCTCCTTACTCCTATTATTGGTATATTTGCTGCAATGCCATCTCGCTACCTCTCAGGTGTGATCTGCTAAAATTCTCTTATGCATCTTAATACGCATCCATTTTCCGGCACCTAGCTGCGTTAACTAAACTCCAACTGCAAAGCGCTGCCTATTTTATAGTGTTTACTCATTTTATTTTAATCGTAAAGGTCCAATGCCCAGCGCTATCGCTAAAAATGTTGTCTGCTGATCTTTTCTGCTTTTGGCTCGTCTACTTTTAATCATCAAGTTCTACTGCCTATCGCTCTGGCTAAGAAATTTAGACCTATGTCCATATAGGACAATTAATGACACCATTTTCACATGAATTTTGACCAAAAATAATATTGCCAACAATAAAATGACAAATTGGCTTAGAGGCCAAACCTCCCACCAAATCTTGGACCTCCATTTTCACCAAAGAGGAATGCATTTTTCGAAAAGTGTGAAACTCCACTTGAATGAATTAGAACAAAGATCTCTCAGAACAAACAGCTCTTTATTTAGAGATTTGTACAGCAGGAAGCTTGACGTTTAGTTTTGAGAGTAAGGGAGTAGGTCCATGACCAAATGTAAATATCCTGAAGGACATAATAATATAATCTCTAAATTTATGTGTTCAAACATTTATATATATTTATTTATTTCTTATACGCCTATGGAGTATGCAGAAAAGTAAGATATTTTTAATAAGAGACGCATATTGTGATATTGCATAGAAATATGTGAGGGAAACATGCAGCTGCGCCAAATGAACAACGGCAGCTCGCAACTGGAACTTTAGCAGGAACAACGACAAGCGCATGAACAACTATAACAGATAGTGACAACCAGCGGCAAACACGAAAGTGTAATCAACGCTTAAACACTCGCAACAAGGAGACAAACATGTCGCTCTTCTGGCCCAGCCGCAGACAATGGCTGACTGGTTGGATGACTGGCTCTCTCTCTGTGTGGCAGACAAAAAAGCATGGACAAACATTGCGACACATTACTGTCAAAACTCATGAAAATATTTCACAACAGCGACAAGCCGACTGAGAGAGAGAGAGAGAGAGAGAGAGAGTGAGAGAGAGAGATGGAGAGAGAGAGAGGAGTGGATCACATAAAACATACAGAGCAGTAAGAAACAAAAAGTCACTAACAAGCATCATATGCCAGCAAAAATGTCAACAACAATGCAGCGAAGCACACACACTCACACACACAGCTCATTAGAGCCCTGACAAGGGTGTGAGAAAGTGGAGGGGGGGGGGGGGGGGTTGGGATTTAGCATGCCGGCTTAGCGGCAGACGGAAATGCAGCAGGATAGCATTCATTTGTAGTCGTTGTTGCCAGTTTTGTTGTCTTTTTCGCATGCATCTTGTGCCCATTTTCGTTGCCGTTGTCGCTTCACTTGTTCTTGTTGTTGCATTTTATGACAGCTACAAAAAGTTGCTGATGATGTAATGTTTATGTGTCGCTGACACTGTCACACCCCCCCGCCCCCTATCGTTCTCCACCCCGCTCAGCCAGCCAGCCAGTCTCATAATTGCACCTGCAAGGCTAACAGATGCAGACAACAACCGGGAGCAGCAAAAAAAGACGCACAAGCAACAATGACATGACAGAAATATGCCAAGTAGCTGACTCCACATTGCACTATGACATGGGTGAGGGTGGCGTGGCATGGGGGTTGGGGGCGTGCTGCAGTGGCATATGATGCATATCGCAAACGTCGTTTGCCGTCAGTTTCCGGTTGTTGCAGCAGCCATTTTGCTTATGCATGAACACGAATGCAACTGCAACTGCAACGGAGCGCATTGTCACCTCTCGTTGAGTGTTTGTCTTCGAGCGCTCGAACGCCCCCGTCTCACGGCATTTAAGGTCTGCAAACTAATATTTCGAGCCAGCGACATTGAGTTATGATTTCAGCCGTACAGAGCGTGGCAAGGTGAGCAGCACGTTGACCGCAGGTGAACTTTAAAATTGACATGAGCTTGACACTCACATTTTGTTTAACCCAACTGGCTTCACCCTAAGGCGATCTTGAGGTTTTTATTCACGCATAATAGTGTGGTATATTCATTAATTATTACAGCCCTAACTGGGCATAATGCTCGCTGATTGTATATCTAACCAATTTGCCCAATTATACCCTTTCTACAGCATAACTATGCCGAAACAAAAGCTGTATATTCATTTTTGGGCCAGCAGCTACATGACTATTACACACAATTAGGCAACAGCAACAAGGAGGGCAACAATCGAGATATCTATAAACACATGTAAAGCGTACAGGAAGCCGCATTGATAGAGGCAATTAACAGCTCGACACGCCATATTTCCTATACGTATACGCAATTTTCCTATACGCCATATCCACAGAAATATCTGCGCTCGTGTGTGCGTGAATTCCATTAGGTGTGGGCAAAAAAAAAATTGGACACATAATTAAAAATACAAAGCATAAAGCGCAATACAAAGACTAATGGCTGTCTACCCCCGATTAATTTATTGTTATTGCCAAGGTAAACAAAGGCGCAAGAGAAGAAACCAAAGTCCTGGCGAGGCAGCAACGTGATTAGGCCAGTTCGATGCGCTCCTTGGAATATTATTAGTAAAACCGAATGCGTAGCCATAAATTACCACTCAGCGGCCAATGCTCAAGCGCATCTCTAGAATGGGCCCATTCCGTGGGACCGAGTTGAAGTTGGTGGTCCCGGCAAGTGGGAGTCAGGAAGTGGGCCGCGTGCGTGCTGCGGAAATGCTCGCAAATTTACGCTTTGAATTTCGCAGGCGATCGTGGACTTGCATATTTTATTTGCTCTTTCAATCAGCAAAAAGCGGAAAGCCCTTTGCCAGCAATAAAATTATTGAAAGATTGATGAAAGCCGCCGCCGCCCCAAAATAAAATGAGCCCAACAAATTGCCCTCGGTAAGTAAGTTTATGTGTAGCTCGAAGCGAGGCCAAAAAACTTAAGAGACAGCCAGAGGACGTGCAGTCGTTGACATTGACATGGGACCACAAATACAACAACAGCAAAAATAAATAAATAAATCGAAAGAAAAAAAATATATATATATACCCGGTGCAAAGATTTATGGTCAAATAATTAGCAATGTCGACGGCTGCCACGCCCTACTTAAATACTCTGCAAATGTTGAGAGTATTGAAAGTTTAATTTTATCAATGAAGAATAAAAAGAGAATATAGAATATATTTTTGTCTTATGTTTGGACTATGAATTTATTAATGTTGGGCTTAATTATTGCAACATTTAACTCCACAAAAGATTATGTTCTTATATATTTTAACTTTCTGTCTAGCATGTCATCTATTGAGACTTCGAAGGTTGCTTCCTTTGCATGTAGGGTATATCGTAGTCTAACACAAAAGTACACCGACTCACATACACACACACACACACACGAGCAACAAGAGGGAACGCTGCTGGCGAGGTGTTTTAATTAATTAGCTTTTTGTTTAAATGCTGAACTTTTGTCCTGTGCTTTGTGTCCGGCGTTTCGATTGCGTTTTTACGACTACGCGCGACTAATTTGTGTAAATTAAATTTATCGACCAGAAAATGCCACAGCAGCCAAAGCAAGTCACCTACAGCCCGTGGCCTGTGCCCCGTGCCCCGTGCAATGCTGCTGCTTAAATTAATCATACGCAGCGTACGCCAACATTGTGTATAATGCCTGACTGACTGCGCCAACTAAATGAGGTAGCAAAAGGGGGCTGTTGGGGGTTGTTAAACTGAGCACAATGCACCACTCGCTGCGTGAATGTGGGTCAGGCGTGCGCTTCGATTTCGATTTTCGTGGCCGATTTTCCATTTCGATTCGTTTATTAAGCATACGCAGTGTGTTACGTACTTGGACTTCGCTTATCGCGGGCCGCTTTTTGATGGCCACTGCGCGCTAATGGCCAACTCAGGCAAGCCGTAAACAGCAGCAAAACGGCAATGGCCAGAAAAGTGTTGCGAGCTATGTGTTTCAGGCAATGCTGGCCCGCTGCCAGGGTTGTCTGCAGGCAGCGATGTTCATGCACTTTCATTAAGTTTAATTAAATTCTCACTTTGTAAATGTCAATGTGCACACACACAGAGACAGAGGGGGCTATCTATGCGCGAAAAAATGCGCCAACCTGAGCGAATTTATGGCCCCTGGCACAAGGCGACAGAAATCTCTCCTGGCTCCTGGCGCACAAATAACAGCACGTCGTAGTTTTGCTTCATTTGCAGACATTGTTGGCTTTTAATTTGGCCGGCACGCGATGCTAAAGCAACAGCAACAACAAAAACAACAGCTCGAGCCTAGTTACTGCTTATTATGCAACAACTTTTTTTATTAATTTTTGCGTATTTTTCTTACAACTTGTGAAGCGAGCGTCGAGCCCAAGACAAACATTGAGAAATTTTTTCTAAGCAGCGCGCGCCAAAAAATAAATTCAAGTCTAAAAATTTTGCCATAAACTTAACCATAAATAATTCAAATAATGTGCGCTCCCCTCGTTCTCTCCATCGCTCGTTCTATACCCCCCTCTCTCTCTCTCGCTCCATGTGTCTTTGTCTTTCCCTCTAGCTGTGTCTAGCTGTTTGTGAGAATATTTCGTAGCTAGGATATTAACCCCAATTGCGCTTGGCACTTGCCTGGCTGCCTGCCGCAGTTCA